CATATCCATTGATTTCGGACATTTCATCCAGTGACACGTGACATAGGGTTGTTGTTACTTCTTTTTTTTTAAGTCAACTTCTGCGCGTTGCATTGATTTCAAAACACTTATAAAGTAATATAAAAATACTGAACATCATTAGATATTAGTAATTATCAATAAAGCAATCATAATAGCAACTGCAAATGCGCTATTATCCTTGCATGGGTTACGCAGGGATTTATTATTTCGAGCAACTTTCCTGGGGGCGTTAAAAACTCCCCTGTGACGTATTCAGGAACGGTAAATAAAAAACACTCAACGCAAGGCACTTGCAATTTGTCATTTAATCCTCTCTTCACGCTCTCGATGTTTGACAAGTAATTTCATCGTCCCTTGTACAGTGTGTCAGCGTATATCCTGATGATGCCTCTCCATGCTTCCTCATATGCTCATACATATACGCATATGCAGTGCCGTAGCTAACGAAACTCTCCTTTAATTTGACGCAAACAAAAATCTTATCCAAAAATCGTTGTTGTTGTTATTCAATATATTGTTAAGAAGTATGTAACTCATATCCTCAAATAAGTTGTGTTGATGTTTTGATAGTTATCGAGGAACCATATTTGAATTCACACTTTATATTTACACTCATAAAATATCCCGAAAGGTTGAATATTTCTGATGAAAGCAACGAGAGCTTGGACATTAAATTTGTAAAAACTTCACAAACGATAAGATTTCCACAAAACTCTCAAACACACGATATGTTTCACTAGTACAGTAGCTTGAATTGAATGAAATGAAATGAAGGTGATATACTTGTACAATGAACTTCATTGTACCAGTATATCACCTGAAGAAGCTAATGTGTTAGTCATGTGTTTGAGAGTTTTGTGGAAATCTTAAAGTTTGTGAAGTTTTTACAAATTTAATATAAATATATTGAAAACATATCGAATTTTTATTTATCATTGGACGTTTCAGTAACGAATCTGCTCCCGATCTCAACATAAGAATGCCAAAATATTTTATGTTGAGAACGGGAGCAGATTCGTTTTCGAAACGTCCAAAGATAAGTAAAATTTCGATATTTCTTCAATATATCTACATTTCCTATCTTCAAATATTTTTCCAAACAAAGTGTCACTGACGAGCTATTGGATTTTTCTTTTGGGCTCCCTGATAGAAAACTTTGTTGAGCGCAGTGACAGTTTGGGTCAAATCATCTAATTTGTCCTACTACACATATATTGAAATAATACTCATATTTATGTTATCAATCAAAGTAAAATGTAGGTATCTATATCACCACTCGCTATCCTGAAAGCGATACTAGGAGCCAATGTGATCGAAAATCTTTTCGGATTCGGAATCAAGATACTTACTTTTTTCCAAACCATCTAAATATCGGTGATATTACGACTACCAACGAGCAGTTTTTTCTAATGATTATTCAGCACACTGTTTTATAACAGTGGATTTGTGTTTTCAAGATCCAATTCTGCTCGGTAATTTCCCTGCTGATCAGAAACTCTGCTCTTCTCTTTTCTGAACAAATATAAAGAAATGAACTCAACGATCTGTCTTGATCAATTTTCCCAACCCAAAACCCATATTTATTGAATCGGTCCTTGATTACCTAAAAAATGTATAATTCGAAATCCGTGTTTTTTGCAACCCGATATATTTGTAGACACGCAGTTCTGCGCAAAGAGATATAACTTTTTTTCTAATGATCTGTCCAGAGAGGGAGACATTTAAATTTACTTTATTGTGTTACCTCAACTAGAATGACTACAAAATCTGGTATACTCAATTTGAAAATCAAATTCTTTTTTCATAACAATGTACGTATCGTAAGAGTGACTGTGAATTAATGATTCCATTTAAGGTGGCAGTTAGAAAAATATATTATTAATCTAATTTGCTTCTTAAATTATAATGTCACGCCACTGAAACTCACCCCGTGAGACTGCATTAGATAGAAACATATGTATCCCTATAGCACCCTATAGAAAAACAGTTACACTTCATCTATATAGGGGCAAATCTGCAACTGCATTAAAAGGCTATTATTGATTCAATGGATGCTAATTTATTGTAAGTGTTGGGTAAATTAAGACACATTTTTGATTCTCTATAGTCTATTGTCTGATGACCATCACACCATCTGGGGGAGTTGAGGGGGTGTATATCGTAGTATCACCAAATTCCCTGAAAATGAGCGTAAAATATAAATATACCTACGTCTTTTTATTTCTCCCATAACATCATCAAAAGGTATCGTTTTTGTATATTTCGTGTATTTTGCGTATTTTTAAATAAATAATTGAAGACCCCGGTGCAAAAACCGGGTAACTCCATTTTATGCCGAAATTGGGTTATTGTATTTTACATATAGAATTTTTTCTTGCGCATCTTCTGGTGCAAGAATCAAGCGAATCCAACAATTTCCTATTAAATTAACACGGGAAAGGATTTACCTGATAAGCCATTGAGGTGCAAGAGTCGGGCAACTCCAGGAGTTACCCGATTTTAGCACCGAAATGTACGCGTGTAGTGGGAGATGTCGGAGTGAGGTTATTAGCGGTAAGCCTTTACGCGTCTTCCATCGTGTGTGGCGTGATTAGTTTGATCATAGATCCAAATTCTGAATAAAGACGCAAGACGCAGGAAACCTCAGCGATTCTTCCTATGTTCAAAATACTATTTGTTTACAATATTTCTCGTTATATATTTCATTTTCGATAAAAAAGCGAAATTATTACACGAGTTCGACTATATTTTCAGAATTTTGTCTTTTCGGGGCAAGAAACAGGCAACTCCATTTTTTCAAACTTCATTTCAGCTTCTACAATGAAAATGAAAACTACTATCTGAGTTAATACAGCTTATCTAACGTAATTCTAAAGGATTCATACCATTTAGCATAATTTTTTTCAAGTTTCTCAAAAATATTAAGTTTTTTCCCATTCCCCAACATTTTGAAAAATTGGAGCTGTCCGGTTCTTGCACCGAGGTCTTCAATTATAATATTTAAAATACTATCAATACGTGAAAAGATCATTATGAAATAAGTATTTATATGTGGCGTAAATTCGACTAGTGTGGAATTGAGGAGATGACATCAATTTGTCCAGATTTTTTGGTAAATTCACGAACAATTAATGAAAATATTCTTAGAATGCGAACATCACCACCTGTCACTGATAAGTGTCAACACTGATATCTGAAGACAATTTACGAGAATAATATTTCCAATCTTATTGAAGGTTTGAAGGAATTTTAATATTAAAATGAAAAAGGGCAAATTTTTCACGAAATTATATTAGGGAATATTTCAGGAAAACTGACCTCATATAAAATATTGTTCTTCGTGGTTTCGAACCCCTATATGTAAATTTATATATGATTCGCCTATGGAGGGTTAAAAGAACAAGGCACATTTGTAAAGCATTTTTGCGATCGTAATAATTATTTACTCGGGAACGGTGATTTCAACATAAAATGGTGTTTCTTGTTTTTTCTTTCAAATCACGATTTCCCAACTACCGGAGCTTTTGAACGTTTCGATATTTGCAAATAATTTGAATTCACTATTTTTATAACACTAAAAATGAAAAAAATTAAGCCATTCACGCTGATTTGGAATGGGGTGATTTTTTACATATGATGGAGGTTTGAAAGCATGAGGAATAATAATATGAACTTTTCTTGCAAAAATATTGCTAATATGATTTTTTCAAATCGACCCCTTTTTATTTCAATAAAAAGGAAGGCAATGTCCAGAAGCATGTTTGTCTTTGAAAAGCTGATCATATTGATGGTTATTCAAACTGGTCCGAATTTGGTACGAATCGCACGACTAATAGCTGAGATATAGAGGAGGGAATGAGACACGCTGTAGAAACTTTAATATTGAATATTTCTTCATGAACGTTGGTACAGATCTATTTCTGAGGACGCCGATTACAGCGGTGTACGTAGATCTTTTCTAAGAAAATCGCTGATATAGATTGTGGAATTTTCAACATCTGAATGTAGGTTTTTTAACAACGCCGCTTTTTTTTAATGTTCTGGTTCCCACGAAAAGGGATATCCTGTAATGTTCAGAGAACATCGTGAGAACCAATAAGGGAAATAAGGTAGGAATTGGTGTTCTCCTTAAATTTCTGGAGGTTATATGCCTCGGGAAACACCTCCCTTCGGAATGTGTGTGTGATTGCATTTTACTTGTCCGTCAACTACTGTTCAATGCGAATATCCCCATGTTTCATTGTTTGAATATCTGTACTTTGCTCAATTCAATAATTCTTACTTTTCACAAGTCTCTGGCCAAGCCATGGGAAGTAACTTATCTTCACTTTTAGCTGAAATCTTTTCACACAATTTAGAATGTCAACTAAATAAGTTCAACTTGAATCAAAAAAATTGTTTCTGGTATAGGTATGTTGATGATGTTGTAGTTTTATTTGATGGTAATTTACAGGAAGTCAACCTCCTCCTAGATTTCACTCCACTTTCAGCAAACATGGACCTCTACCAGAGATTCAACTTTTTTTGTTGCATTATACTAAAGAAATTTTCCACCCAGAGTCCCAGACAATCTAAAATCAATCCCCAAACATCTCCACAATGGACAATAGGCGTGGCCAAGTTCCCTGCGTTCCAACTCCGTCGAATCCGGATTTTCCGGGAAAGCCCTCCGGCGAGCCATCGCGATGCGCATGATCCTCCGGGAAGGCTCGTTCCGGTGGATACTCCAGTCGCAGTCACGTGCCGATCGCGAAAACACGTGTCTTGTCACGTGCGCTCTATCAAGGCTCTATTAGAGAACAATCGAAGGTCGGGTGGCTCTTTTGGTCTTTTGTCAACATCGGCACTCGCTGTGATTGGATAATTGGCGAGAATGTGAACAAGAAGTCGAAAAGTCATCGGTTGTGATTTTGACATTGGGAGTCGTCGATGTTATCTTAGCAAGTTCTATATGTCGCAATACATTTTGAGAAATCTGTAATTCTTTAGTGAAAGTTGATGAAACTTGGCAGTACTTCGAGACAGGTACAGTTAATTATTGTGATAGGGTATATGAGAAAATTTAGTCCTGTGACAAAAAAGATTGATGATTTGTATCATAACGTGAATAATTGAATATTAATCAGCAATTTGAAAACTTGAAATTCCTTATGTAGATATTTATAACTTTATTACGTATCATTCATTTTTAGTAACTTATATTCGGCTCTCATATGAATATTCTTTGGGAAACATAAATGCTAATTGAACGAACCCAGGCAGAATCGGTCAATATAAATAATATATGACAAGCTGAATATTTTTCTCCGTGTAGCGATTTTGAATATCTGGGGAATTGTTCAAATACAAGAGGGACTGAGTATTTTGGATTTCACGGTGTAATGGAAATATTCAGTGTGCAAAAAAATACAAGGGATTTTCAGAAATCAGAAACTTGATAAGAACCCAATTGACATTCCTTCTAGGAATGACCAATTATTTTCCATTCTTGGATATTCATTGGCTATTCTGTGTGAAACCTTTACGCAAATTATAGATGAATAGAGTTAACCCAGTAAGATTATTCTATATATCAATGCATCGAGAATATGTCACTGCCAGAATATTTTTCTATCTTGAAAATCGTGATAAGTTATTATCGGATCTAACTGTATCATAAATACTCAGTGTGCAGAAAATGTCAAGTGAGTGATAGAAAAAATTGTTATTTGTTATACAAGAGAAAAAAGTAGTAGATTTTAGCTCCAGTTTGTGTTGTCTCCCGACGCGTAGCGGAGAGAGGCAAAAAACCGTGAGCAAAAATATAATATCTTGCTCTGTATAATACATTAAAGATATTACATTTTATTAACAGAGATGAGATTGCTAACTTTTCCCCGTCAAAGAAAACAAATTAAATTCGATATTTTTGTGAGAAACATAGAAAATGTTTCAAACCTTCTATTCCATTTCATGGAGAATATGAATGCTATTGAAAAAATATAGAGTTGAGGGTGGTACAAATAATTAGAACGCAAAATGAAGGCACCAGCGCAAAAAAGTAATCCAGCAACTTTCGTTTGCTATTCCAGTTGTATACCGGATGCTAACGAATTTCTTAAACAAGCCATGGTTTCCAAAATTCCGATTGTATAGGATTCAAAGTTGGCAGGGGTATAGGATACGAGAATTGGAAAATTTTTGCTCCCCCATCACTTCCGGCTTCACCGGTACGACTACAACTTTTGATTTCAGATACGACACCCTGTATTTTATTCCATAATCAGCTGCTTTGGCTATTTTACTACAGAGATGATACTACAAAATAGGAATCTATGAAGTCATATCATACGATAAATTACACACCTGCACATGTTCTTAATGTCATCATTTTTGCCTTGTGTATTGCAATTGAAAAGTCAACGGTACTGCTTCTTTATTTTCATTATAAAAATATTCGAAAGAGAGACAACTATACATATTTTTCCAAGTCCTAGTTTCTGGAATTTGGAGACATTTCCCCAGAAACAAAACATAAACTGTTATCATTTCAATCATGTTCTCTCAGATAGGCAGTAATAAATTTATCTATGAATCACAAATTTGGTGATTGTTTGGTAATTTACGTAATCGCGAAGTGGAATGGAAAATAAAAGAGAGATAAAAAAATCGACTTTTCAATTTGAAGGAATTTGACCTGGAACCCCAAAAAAAATTTCGGTGCAAAAATGTTTGCTGGGTCCCTTGGCTCCCCTTGGAAACTCTCCCCTATCAGAAAAATCCTAGATCCGCCCCAGTCCAACACCCCTGCAGAATCTGGAAACTATGGCTTGTCTAATGAATACGTTGACACCCGGTATAAACATCGAATGCTCTAATAGAACTAACTATATATTCGATTCAGACGGAGATCTGGTACTAGTGGTACTACAGTGACTGTTCTGTAGGCGGTGAAGCGTATTCGTATTGCAATCAGTATTTCCATAGATTAATGACTTCCCCGTATTTCTTTTCCGTGATGGCATTAGCCATTTATTGGACTTGGAGAATGTCGGTTATTGCGTGGTTAAAATATCTACCTACCTCCCATTCCAGCAACAATCTCAATAATTTCAACCGAAAATGGATTTCTGAGATACCTATCGACTTCATACGATGGCCAGTATGTTTTCCACCATGGAAAACCTGGACCTGGACGCCTGCAATCGCCAGTTCTACTTCGATGGAGCTGCCTATCTGCAAGCGAACGGATGCAGCAACGAGAGTACCACAGGGTCCTCTTCCAACGGCAGCGATTTGTTCTTGTACGACGAGAACAGCACCGACTCGGTAGACTCGACTTTCTCCTATGGTAGCGACCAGGAGAATAATTCTGATTGCAAAGAGTAAGTCCTTCCTCCAAAAAACGAACATTATTCACATACAATAAGACTTCCATGAAATTGTTAAAAATGCAACATGCCTCCAGTAGCATTCTATACATATCCTCGTACGATTAATTGATCGGATTTATATAGTTTGAGAGCCCGCTGCATATTTGGACCGTCATCCGATGTTATATAGGAAGTCCCAAAATTGCTGGGACACAGAGCTACCACGTGGAGAGGAGGTCAAAATGAGTTGAATGGACCCATTTATTTATGTGCCATAATGTACCGTTTGTCCGTGAGAAGGGTTCAAAGTTCACAAATTTTTGTACGCTGTTCATAAATAAGTGAAACGAATTTGATGAAATTTTGGCAATAGTGTATTTCAGAGGATTACTTCCGTTTTGGTAATCGAAGAAACCTAAAAAAAAATTGTAGAAGGGTTAAAACCACCCTCACCCCCTGACATTTTTTTCAGAACTTTTGCAGGGGTCATAATAAGGTTCTGAAATTCTTTGAGCTTGAAAACTAATCAATTGCCTTCGTTTTATTACTCTTGTAAAAATTTCGTATACAGCATAGTTTCGAAGAAAAAAAAAGTTCTCTCAAATAATGCTACCAGATATTCCCCGTACAAGTTTGCGACAGTACCTTGACCTCCAAGAATTACGATCATATCGGTCTGCTGATTATAAGAGAAAGCAATTTCAACATACGCCAACCAAATATACGTAGGAAATAAAGGAATGAAACTCAATCATTGGAATCATTAGAAATCAACAAACTCAAAAATTTTGACCTTTCACTTAACGATCAATTAGACCTCAATAGTTCACCACTGTTGAATTTGTTTTCTTCGTAGGTAACAATATGTATGTGCTATCAAACCTTCCAAGTTAATCCGGTACACCGTATTTTAATGTAGAAATTGTGCCTAATTAAGGTTTATGGAACCTGTCCACAGGTAACTAATCCTTAAAGTTGGGAAAGTAGGATATATAAGAGCAAGCCAAGGTTGGTTTAGTTCATTTAATCAGTATATCACCTGACGAAGCTACTGTGTTAGCGAAACATGTTGTATGTTTAAAAATTTTATGGAAACCTTATGTTTGTGAAGATTTTACATTTGCCATGGATTTCCATCAAATAACGGCCGAGTCAATTAAAAAAAAAAAAATAGGGCCGTCGGGCTATCTGCCTCCACACCGCGACCTTTTCAGATCTATTTTGTGTCTGCGGTCGAAATCGTTTAGAGTTTCTTAATTAACCCCACCACCTGTATGAGACTCCATAGGCTAGTTTTTTGACCCCCTGTGTATCTTTGGGCACTCGGTTTTCCTCTGCCAGCGTAAGGAACCATAGACTCTCACAGTGACAAAGTATGTGTACTCAAGTGTACTGCTGTTTCCCTATCTTCCTGGCAAAACCTGCACAGCATTTCTTGAGCCAGACCTCTAATATTCTAGTTCAACTTAACTTCGATCCTGGCTCAGTAGTTCTATGGTAGTATCTTGTGAATATTTCCTGTCTCATTCCTGGTAAACTGTTCCACTATTCTTGAGATCTGGTTTGCGTCCATGATTTGATGTTTGTCTTTTGTATAGCTTTCGCAATAGGTACCACGAAAGGGTTCTGGACCATTCAGCAGTTTACTTGCTCCTGCTCAGGCTAGTGAATCTACCTCTTCGTTGCCCTCATGCCCTATATCTGCTGGTACCCATGCTAGAGTCAGTCAGAAGCAAGATCATCAGATCATTTTGCTAAGTAACAACATCATCTTGCCTAAGTAACGACAGAACAGTAAGTTCCATTTCTTGGGCAAGTGCATCTTCTCTAAGAAAGATAATCTTGTTTGAGATATGACCGTGATTGTTTAGCCAGATGATCTTGCTTCTCACGTTTAGATGAACTTGCTTCTTAAGCAAAATAAAAAAGATGCATACTGGCTCTTGGAACTTGGCTCCTCCGCCATTCCTATGGCGTACTTTCTGCAAATCCACATTCACACAGAGTTAAAATACGATTCTCTGTGCCAGTACGACGTTGCCGACATCATCAATATGTCTAGATTTCCGGAAATTGTTCTTTGAATGCTAACTATATCATAAAAGCAATGGGATATAATAAGTTCTTCAATCCTACTTTGTTAAGTATCATGAATAATTCCCATAAATCTCTCATTGGCTGAATATAAAGATAAATTATGATATTTTGCGATAGTATCTATAACTTTTCACTATCGCTATATCACAATATGTTATTCATAACTTTTCATCAGTCATTTTACTGCTAATGAATAGGAAAGTTGCAGATTATATCATGCAACAGAGCCTAATACTTCGAGTCCGTCCACACCACTCAAAATACTAACAGGCACAACAAGAGGCAGGAGCCATGGGTGTCGGCTTCATTCTGTTCTGACCGATGGCAGTAAATTAGGAAGGATAGTATCATTGAATGTAGCCGATAGTGATTCATTGATTCAATGATATTTTCGTTTAGGATCGAGCTGTTTACCAGATATTTCAATGCATAAATAACAAAACCATAACCTGTCAGAATGAAGCCAACTACCCTCTGCGTTCCTGCTCCGAGTGCATTTGTGGTTATGTATGTTTTGGTTTACCAGTTTTACTTCTTCTTCTATTTTTTTCATTCGTTAGCTATTCGCTATTAGCTATATTCTTCACCATCAGCTATTTTCAGACTAGATTCATACGTCACAGTTTACCGCCTCGAAAATTATAAATTGCTTTAATTCAAAAATGAAAACGACTTGGACTTTATCGGTCGCCATTCTATACAGCGTGGACATGAAACTGGAGAGTTCCGAACTCATTTTATGAAAATTCATCTGAAGGAAATTTCCTCATTTTTTTATGTCATTGTAAACTGTATCTGAGGCATGCGCCACCTAATGATCTCTGATCTCTGATCAGAAGGTTGCACAGACATCGAAAGCGATCGAAATGCCCCCAAGTGCAGATTCAACAGCGGCAGGCTGCCAACCTGAGAGAGCGGAAGCGGATGCAGTCCATCAACGACGCGTTCGAGGGCTTAAGGGCCCACATCCCCACTCTCCCCTACGAGAAGCGGCTGTCCAAGGTGGACACGCTTAAGCTGGCCATCGGCTACATCAACTTTCTGGGGGAGTTGGTTAGGACCGACAAGAACGCGAACAGCGAGTGTTTCAACGGGCACAACAGGAATCTGAGGCAGGATGAACCGAAGAAGATTATTATCAGAGGTGGGAGTTTATTGTACTACGATGGCGTATTAGCGCAAAAATTCTTTCATTATTTTTCTCATTGAAATCTCATAATGTTTAGTTTTTTATCATAATTTTTTTCAAAAGTTTGAGATGTACCTATTGCGGAAGATTGCTCATAGTATCATCCTTCGATCATAAAACAGACGGAGGTATCATCTATTTCAAGTTCGTTAAATGGGTCTTTGAGGTGAAGTTTCGATATTGTTGATAGATATACAGGCTGATTCACGGTGAAAGGCACATTACACGTTTCTGGAGAACGTAACTCGGGATTATTCTGAAAATTTGGTGCCTTGGATAATTGGTTGTGCTCTATCGACCAAAAATATTTCCAGCGCTGCGACGTTTCCGCTTATATTGAAATTAGCAACAAAACTTTGATTCTCTGAATGGGACACTCGACACCCTGTATATTAATCAATTTTGAGATTCTCCCTGAAGAGCTGATTTCATTGACTTTTAACACTTGGGATAGATCTAGCAGTGACAGTTACAGAGATATAGGGAGTGAAAAATCGAGATTTTTCAACTTTTAGATTTTTTTGTGTCGAAACTATTCATAATTGTGTCCCTATCTCAACTTTTCATTTACTATCAATTGATATTTGATTGAAATAGGTACAGGGTGGTTCAGAATTGAGATTTTCAACTACCCCTGTATTTCTCTGGTAGGTAGTAGTCCATGCTCAAATTGGAGGTGATGAGATAATTGAGAGAACAAACTCAAAGTCTCGCTCCAAGTGAATTATAATCAAATAATATATGCTATATGCTACATGTTTCGACTCCTAGGAGTCATCATCAGGCTAAAATACAACACTTATAAATGAAAGAAGTTCCATCACTATTGGAAAAGGGGTGACATACCTTGCTAGGTAGGAGGAGAAAGGAAACTATAAAATTGAGAACATAGTTCTTAAGGCTTTTAAGCCCAAAATAATTTCAAGTAACATTTTTGAATTTTGGTTTTTTGAACCCCCAAATAAACATTTTTCTAAGATGCTTCTTTTGGATCAGATAAACATTGTTTACAGCAAATGGCGCGGTTATGAAGTGAACAAACCGACAGACTACTTGATTTGACAGATAAAAATTATTATTCGACAAACAAGACATTTGTCACTTGTTTGTCGAATAATAATTTTTATCTGTCAAATCAAGTAGTCTGTCGGTTTGTTCACTTCATAACCGCGCCATTTGCTGTAAACAATGTTTATCTGATCCAAAAGAAGCATCTTAGGAAAATGTTTATTTGGGGGTTCAAAAAACCAAAATTCAAAAATGTTACTTGAAATTATTTTGGGCTTAAAAGCCTTAAGAACTATGTTCTCAATTTTATAGTTTCCTTTCTCCTCCTACCTAGCAAGGTATGTCACCCCTTTTCCAATAGTGATGGAACTTCTTTCATTTATAAGTGTTGTATTTTAGCCTGATGATGACTCCTAGGAGTCGAAACATGTAGCATATAGCATATATTATTTGATTATAATTCACTTGGAGCGAGACTTTGAGTTTGTTCTCTTAATTACCCCTGTATTTATTTCAATTAAATATCAATTGATAATACATGAAGAGTTGAGATAGAAACATCGAAACCGTTTTGACTAATTATGAATAAGTTCGACACAAGAAATTCTTGAAGTTGAAAAATCCAAAGTCCGAAAAGTATACATCTCATGGACGGAAACAGTTATGCAAAAAGAAATGGCCCACTGAGCAAGGAACATCCCGGGGATGTTTGTTAACGTTAATTTCTTGTACCTTTGGTGACCTTCTTGAGATTACATCTTTTATAAGTGATAATAACATATTTCTGGGACGTTTTAATTCGTCTCTTATTTGGGCTGACTCTGCTACATCCCCAGATACACATCGCTGTTTCGTAACAGTAAACTGACCTATGCACGTCTATGTGATCTTATTTGAGTCAATATTCCAACGCCTTCTCCAAAGTATTCTTATTTCATCCACAGAACATTTTATGTGACGTACTTTTATCATTTTCCGTGGGACTATTATCACGAACTTGATTCGAATCAGACACGTATCTTTCTCACTTTGTGCTATTTTGCTAATATTCGCCATTTTGAGAGATGATGCTGTCGTGGTTATGACGGACGGCGTGGTTTGTGTTGTGTTGTGTTTGATGTGTCTCACAATAAAGTGTGAATTTTGACTTTTGATGTAGACTAATAGTCAAGAAAATCAAGTGGAAGTGCGTTTTTTGGAAAACATGGTGAGATAGGTGAGTTGAATTACCAAAATCTTAATTTTCTGTTTATGTATCAGCACACAGTTGTCTGATTCATAATGGCTTCAGTCATAATTTATTGTCGGGTATCTTCCTCAGTGAATATATAATTATGTGATAAATATAACTACAAGCACACAAGTCCTCTATTATTGTTCCTCTCTTTGTTTCAAATGAACTCAGTAATATTATTTGATTTTTGGGGTTAGGTCATACGCAATATAAAAAAATGTATCACCAAATAGCTATATAGGTATATCAGTGACCAACAGGCTCCCTCAAAATAGTTTGATTCATGTCATTCACGGAAGCTTTCATTGGAATATATCAATGTCTTCAAGTACTACATTGTTTACAGGTCAGTACTTATGAAGTTTCCTCGGAACCTGATGGATACCTACATTACTAGAACATGCGTGAGCTCTGGACAAACCTACCCTGCTCTGACCTACTTTAGTAGAAATGATGGAATACACATCTGCTGTTTGCCTGGGAAGTTCAGGTATGAAAAAGTGAAATGCATATAGTAGGTAATGTAAATTTATTACTTAGGTATGGTATATATTTCAGAATCCAAGTATCTGGGATTTCATTCAATCAAAAATAGAGAAATTTGGGGGACACAAGAATTAGTAAGTCCTTTATTCTTGAAAGGCGTATGAAAAAATGATGACAACATGAAAATCAACTCTTATACATTGGGCTAGAACACTCTAAAATCCACCAACTGCCACAGAGGAGGGTGAAAGTATCGAGAATCAAGAACACACCATCAGGAAGGGAACTAATCGAGGCAGAATCAAGGTAGGATTATATGAATAATTGATTCTGATATTGTGTATAACAATTGTTTGGTGTTTCAGGTGCATTTCATGAAATCCTCAGCCTTGAAATAGATTCGCCCATAGAATCATAAAACTGAACTAACTGAAGTGACATACGTGGAAGGATATAATTATAGTCAATCAAATATCCATTTATTTCCAATTGTACTTCTACCTTACATACATTGATTGAATACATTTCTGAATTTATTTTTCTCCTCTGATAAGTGGGTATTCAGCAATGGAGCTGACTATAGTAAATATCAGGGTGATCCAACATAAATGTTCCCTCTTGTAAATTTAGTCATTTCTGGACCGATAGCAGAATTCAAAAACTATTTGGTATATTTTTTAGCCAGAAAATGTATACTGGGTGTTTCAAAATATATGGGACGCACATCAAGAAGTGATAGGGCAGCTCAAAACAATAATAAATGATCCTTCAAAGAATTGACCAGAACTCTTTTGTTTTCAAGTTGTTAAAAATACCTACCATTTTTTATTCCTTCCGATACATTTGAGATGATTGAACCAAGTTTGCTTCATTATACCTATTTATCGTTCTCTGTAGTGGGAGAAATGAGAGGACGCGTCCCACATATTATGAAAAACCCAGTGTGATAAAATCTAGCTATGTGATTATACCAGTATTAGTTTGCAGAATTCACGAATATTGATCTAGAAATAACCAAGTTACAAGGGTGAACATTTTTGGAGTATCACCCTGTATATTTCGAAAGATCCTAGTAATGTTACGAGAGAGTCAACAATAATGAAACAGTTATGTTATGAAATCGTCCAGGGATATGTACTTTTTACATTCCGAAATGAAGACATGGTACGTAAATGCGTTATCGCAAATACTATTTGAGAATGTACTTTCACTGTAACAAAGCTGTTTCATGACACGTATCAGTTTCGACTCTTACTCAACGTTCTTGCGACGTCCTGCGATATTGTACTGTTGGTGGACATATAACGACTCTAAGATAATCTTTAAGATGTCAATAGCACCAAATTCACAACGTAACAACGTATCTTGGTTACAATGAAATAACGTTAATAGTATGAGTTTTTGCACAGTGGGGGGACAGGAACGTGAAAACCTCATCAAGGATTCATCTCCAAGATCAACCGAGAAACCTGACAGTATCAATAAAAATCGGATGCACATATATACTACTACTACTATACTACATACCGGGTGTAATACGATCATGGTACACCAAACCATTTTGATGAACTTAATTTGCCTATAAATCAAGAAATTTGACACTTTTGACAGGATTAAATTTTTTTCGCATTACACCTGTCGATATGAGTACATCAGACTCGATAAGAATAGTCATATATGGCACACTCTGATGGAAGACATAAAATTAAATCCAAATCAATATTGAAGTTTGAAAGGTCACTTATGTGGTATCATTGATGGGTTCAGAAAATGATGCAGAATTCGAAAATTCAATGACACACAGGGTGTTTAGTTTGGAAATCAAAAGTTATTACACTTCCGGTGAACCTGGAAGTGGAAAATGAAACCAATTTATTTCAAAACATGAAGTTTATCAAGTTCACGACTCATACGATCTTGTATTACTTTCGGTATACAACCCTATTTTTTAATAAGGATGATCCTAAAATCTTCACCTCATTTTTTGAGGTTTTTTCTTGTTAAAATGATAACCACAAAAAAACTGACAGTCCTTCTGTAGATTTCCCCATTAACAAGCGTTATTGCGCGAAAAAACGTGGAAAAAATCGAACAAACATAGACAAGGACAGGATGCAGCTGTTTTGCGTAACGAATTAGGATACGTATCGCGGGCCAGAGATCTCCGCCCGATAATCGAATTCGGCAGGCCACCACCAAGACGGGGGCCCACCGCGCCGAAGCCCAAAGGGGGCCCCCAATCGCCCTATGACCCAACCGTAATCAATTCCGAATGCGGCGGCGATTATTGTCCGTAGATGTCACGCCGCGTTGTCATGATATTCGTATTGATAGGGCATTGATAATGCACACACCCTTGCTATTTGGGGGTGAAATATGCCCTCCCGCAGGACGAGAACAAGTGTCGCGAATTATGTAGTCGTAGTGAAATGCGTGTTATGTTTATCGAGATATAGCTGATAGGTTTATTATTCGTAATAGTGTGTTACTACTGAAACTTGCGAAACCGTGAAAATTTTTGTGTTATCACTTCCTATATAGGCCTTTTCATCTAGATATATTTTTGAGACGCATGCGCTCGTTTTTAGATCCAAAAATGTATTGGGTATAATGCGAAGGTGAAGTCTCATTGGCTATTATAGTTCCAACACAAATTGCTGATTGGTCATTATTGACGTTTTGTCAAACGTCAACAGTGTCAACCACCAATACCACCATGGGCATTCGCGTCATTGAGAAACAACAATAACAACATAGTATTTTTGTTTTTATATTCCTGTGTATTATTAATTGTATTATAATAATTTAATTCCAAAGAACTTACTTGCTCGTTACTGAGAATAAGTGTGGTACACTATATGGTGTGAGTGTTTCGGTGAAAATGGCGGCCATGCACTGTCGTTGGATGCGAGATGCATATATCTACTACTCAGAAATAGTACATATATGGCGAGATAAAGGCGAGATGTAAACAGAGATAGTCATTTATTGTCATCTAAATTGGAGGGAGTTTCGAAATCTCATCATCGCAGGATGTTTCCGCACGTTTTGACTCGAAACTTTATTTTTTTATAGGTGCTGGAGGATTATACACTGCTCATTCTCTATCGTGGTCAAGAGTGAAAGAGCAAAATCCAAATGGCACAATGCATGCCAAAGTGTGGATGCCTGAAGATCCCAGAGCGAATAAAGACGCTCCAAACAGTTCCGCGTACAGCTTGCCAGACTGAATTGTGTTCCAGAGTCCATATCCATGATATTGATACCTATTCATATTTAATTTCACTATAGTTTCAGTATCATATTTGAATAGCAACAAACATTCAAAATACTTCATCATAAAATGACGAAACATATATGTTACGATAATATTAGTCATTTATTAACTAATAATGTACGTCGTGAACCCAAGAAGATAGATAGAGTATACTGTATACGGGGTATGATACGACGAGCTCACAGTATCTTCATACAGGGTGTATCTAAATATGACCGAAAAACTTCAAGGTGTGATTCCTTGTGATATTTTAGGAACCAAAGTTCATATAAACATGTGTCCTAACTTGCTTCGTTTTCGAGATACAGATGAGTAGGTATTAATATTTCCATGAATGATCGATTTTTTTTTCATAATTCTGTTGTCTTTTTATCAATTTCAATAAAAAGTTGTGGTTCTGTTAATAGAGTAATATGGAGCTTTTTCTGGTGCAATTAGATTCGGAATAATATTTCCAGTGGCGTCACATACAGTGGGTAAATTTATCGATATTTATGGTGAATGTCATATCACGCCACCGGTTTTTCTGAATTCCATATTTTTATTAGATTGAACTGTTTAGATAACAACTTTTCCATCTCCTGTGTGATTTTTGTATCTAGCTTAGTTTTTGGGGAAACAATAAAAATTCGATTTGACTCAAAATTTTTGAAATTTTGGGGCTTTCTCAGTCTTCAACCATACTGAATTTTGGCACCATGAAAGCTTACATCAGAGGGAGGTTAGAAACAAAAACAATTAATACTTTCAACTTCAACATCCTGTATCTCAAAAACGGAGCAAGTTAGGACACATATGTTTATATGAACTTTATTCGCTAGAATATCACACGAAATCACCCCTTGAATTTTTTCGGCGTTATTTTGATACACCCTGTATATATCGAGAATCAGTCGCAAGAAATTCATGAAAATGTGCATGCTCATATTTGGGATTACGCTATCTTCGTTTAATATGTTCAACAATGCAATGTTGCCGCTTCTACTAGAAAGTAGTAGCAACTCTGATATGTCAAATGGAAACCCTGTATTTCATTGCATTATTTTGGATTATCCCGGAAAAGATGATTTCATCAATAATTTATCACACTTGGTGTCTAGGGCAATGATTACAGAGATATAGGGGTGTTCAAAATCGAGATCTTAACTTTTGATTCACTATATATCTACTGACATTCAATTGGAATAAATACAGGGTGCTTCAAGATTCAGAATTCTGATCTGTTCCAATTGAATGCTAATAGATAGTAAAGTCAAAAGTGAAGATAAGGACATGAAAGCCGTTTTGACCGATATCAATAGTTTCGACAAAAAAAAATCCTAAATTTGAAAATCTCGATTTTGAATACCCTATATATATATTATGTTTGCTACTTTCTAGTAGAGACGGTAACACTGCATTGTCAAAAATATTTCAAACGGAGAGTGCGTAGTTTCAAATATAAGCATGCACATTTTCAAAAATTTCATAAATTTCTTGAGACTGATTCTATAGATAAGTAGTGTGTAAGGTGACAGAGAACCCTCTGGTCGATGCAGGGAGGATTGTTCAATTGTACCTAATCTAGTCTTTTATTCTAGTCATTTTATAGAATGTTGAATAGTTACACACGAAAATGTATATACCATTTTACCATAAATATATATTAGGTATTCATTTATGTAGGTGTATAGGTAATATATTGTGTAAATATTGTATATATATTTTTTGAATAAACATCACCTCTACATTTGTTGCTATTTATGTTTTATTTTGAAGGTTAATAGAAATATGTCCTATACAGAGTGTTAAGTAACAAAAAACTGTATGAATTCTTTTCGAAAATTTTCTATGGGATTCCGTTTTCAACATACAGAAGGAGTCAAAAGATTCAAAAATGTCAGTTTAATTAAACACACTTTACAATAAATGAACTCAACAATAATTTGAAAACTAACTAAAAATTTTATTATTTGACAGTTCTGCGGTAATTTATTACTAGTGGTAGTGGTACCAGGATTTTGTATTCAATTCATCCGTTATTTGCTACTTAATTATCTGCCTTATAATTAATAACTATATAATGTTAAGACACATTCGAATTCACCGCCATAGTTAACTAGAATCGTTCTTATTGGTTGATGACGCATGTTTGGGCAAACTGAATTCATGTCTTGAGTGTCCTTGTCATTTGTCTTCACGTCAATATTGTGTGTCACTACTGTCAGTGTCAATGTCGTTTTTGTGTTTATATTGGGTTCATTGTTTTGTGCAAGCAGTAAATAACACCTTAGATCATACACTGTATAATGTGCATGATCTAAGGGAGGGACATTTTTGTTGTGAAGACTGAAGACTGAAGAGAGACACAGACACAGAAGTGGAAGCTGGAAGAAATGAATTTAATCCTTGTGCTGTAAACATACTTTTGATTTTTTTTGTATATTTTTATGAATTGTATAGTGGAAATTCGTTTAATTTTTCAACTATAGAACATCCTAAACTGTGTTTATATTATTCTCGACATTTTTTCTTTACATTATAATGACTTCTGCTCTATATCTAGAGCATTACCTGGACAGTGAGTGATGAAATCTGCTTTGAAGAATGTTTTATTAACTTTATTCATGATATCTTAGGTTTAGAGCACCTACCAATCGAACTACAACGTAATTTTACGTTAATGAGAGATTTGGACTCCAGATCCCAAGGCCTGATGAAAAATATTGATTTACTGGCAGATGAATACTTAAGAGATCAGAAAACATTGACTTCAGACCAGAAAAAGGAACAGCTGGATAAAATACAGAGTTTATTCAATAAAGCCAAGGTAATTAATTACCCAACAGACTGTGTTGTACCTCTATAGCTTATCTCTTATTTCAAGGAATATGGAGATGACAAAGTACAATTAGCAATCCAGACTTATGAATTAGTTGATAAACATATACGTAGGTTAGACTATGACTTGGCAAGGTTTGAATCTGAAATACAAGACAAAGCATTGAACTCTAGAAACCAAGAGGAACCTGCAGTTGGGAAACGTATGTACTATATAACAAAAATTACTATTGGCCCTAGCCAGACATTCATTATTTGAAGGTGGCCGAAAGAAAATCAAAGAAGGCAAAGGAGAGAAAAAGAAACGCTCAGGTAACTCCAGTGAGGAAGATTCCACTGGTACTGTCAAAGGAAGTAAAAAGAAGAAACAGAAGGGTTCTGGTACAGGAAATGCTACAGGGGGTTCTGCAGGCAGTGGAGCTAAAGCTGCCTCAGGTGAGGGTTGGTATCATTTCATGCTTCTTCATTCCAAATGTACATTTGTGATATTCTGATCATCTCAACATCTTCATGTTATATCTATTACATTTCCATAAATACCCATGCAATCTATGCCCATACAAAGCCATCACTCAGTAAAACTCTGTTATCACTTCAATCTGGGGACTAACTATTTAATTTTAGTGGCAGAGGCTGTTGCTGCTGTTTTGCCAGGATTGGCTGGTATTGCTCACCCAAGTGATGTACTTGATATGCCTGTAGATCCAAATGAACCAACATATTGCCTTTGTCATCAAGTATCTTATGGAGAAATGATTGGTTGTGATAACCCAGATGTAAGTAGTTATGGAACATATTTTTGTATATAATAAAACCTCACTATTAATGGCCATGAAACTACTGAAAAGATATTTTTGAAGTCATACTATTTTATTTCTTTTTTTTTTTTAGTGCCCTATTGAGTGGTTTCATTTTGCCTGTGTTGGGCTTACAACAAAGCCCAAAGGAAAATGGTACTGTCCTAAGTGTACTCAGGATAGGAAGAAAAAATAACACTATTGAAAATAATAGGCAATCATTCCTCATTTCAAAAAATATATATTCATGTACAGGTATATATTATTTTGAATATATTTTCATCAAATTGTCCAATCCCAATGAGTGGGATGATCTCAAAAAGTCGTTTTTTTATAAAACTTCCAGGTATTTATTTTACATGTTATGTAGGTTCAATGAACTAGTGAATTTTAATATGACTGTAAATTCGATTTTTATGAACTTTTGTTTACTCTGAGAATACATAGATACAGATTCACCAGAAAAAATCTGATTTTGTCCACATTGGATGGTACATCATTCTCAATGAATTTTCCAATTTTGGATAATTTTTGAAAGCTTTTAAATTATGAAATAAAAATGCTAATCAAGCATGAAGTTATGTTTTATTATTTTACATATATTATCACCCTCCACAATTCACCATCAATCAATCTAAGGTGCGATACTGTCAATATCAAAAAATGATAGGAAAATACAAATTTCAGATTTTTTAACAATTATGTAATTATGACTAAATGATACTGATACACCATAAAAATAATGATAGTTAAAAAACTATCATTCACTAAACGTTCAAGATGTGAATAATTTAAAGGTTATACACAGGGTTGTTACTTGTTTACTATATCACTACTATACTATATCATTTTATCGGAGCCTGCCGATTTGTCGATAAATTCGATTGTTGAATTGTTATTATTATCAAGCAACCCTCTGAATTTTTGGATTTGAAGTATAAACACCATCCACCCTGCATAGAAAAAAAACAACACCCAACCACTTATCTGAAGTATTTGCTGTGAATATATAGGTAATCATAACTGAAAGTTATGATTCAGTCAGATAACAAAGCAATCCATATTTGGCAGTCAATTAGTTGAAATGATCATACAACACTGATTTGGAAATAAAAAATTACAGATTGAACAATCTGCATGAATGAAATTTCACATTGCTTAAAGATTGTGCTCATAAGTTTTATTCACTATATGTTCTAATAAGCACCCTCTATAAGGAAATTGAAAATCTCTTCATTCCAGAAAAAGACGAAATACCTGACAAACCAACACATGAAGCTTATTTTCCATAATATCATCCAACTCATATTACACTATTACAGTCAAAACTCTTGATACTACACAGTTGGAGTATCTTATTTCACTTACATCGGCGATTGAAGCCTGAGAAATGTAGGTTTTAGCAAACCAATCAGAATAATTTGCCAAGGTTAAGCTTGCAAACCACCGACGTAACCTACATTCTAGACCCGCCTCATGTCATATCCCAATAAAACAAAAATCTCATCTGAATTGATCACCTGAAAACGCTTATTCATGACATTGAATTATGTCATTTGTTAAGAGACATGAGTAAGGGTGAGTAACTTGACAGGACCTTAATGCGCATGCTCCACGGGATACCGTTAGACCTCCTATGGAAGAGCTAATTAATCATTCCAGAATTACGTCATCTGACAGGTTGCTGAGGGGCAAACATTGTATTTTGTCAAGATTTGTCATATAAAACCAGAATTAGTGGGATCGTTTTCCTTGGAATCCGAGTTGGAACCAGGGCAATGCTCAACAAAGGTAAACTAACAGATAGTTTGTGTGCCCCTCAAGAAACCATGTCAAAATCGCGTGTTCTAGAATGATCAATTAGATCATGGGGTAAGTGGTCTGGTACTAAGGAATGTTCGTTTAGAAAAAAATCAAGTTCAGAGTTAAGCAGGTAGAGCAAGCACAAACGAACAGGTCCCTATATTCCAAATTCAACTGCCAGCAGTGTCAGTAAGTCCAACGACTGCTGAAATTCGGAATAAAATCTACATCAGTGAGCTGTCACTTTTCAGTTATGTTCACAATTTATGATTTTGTTTCATTGTTTGAAATGAAATTATATAATGCGGCTGTACACACCAGTCAAATTTTCGCCACATATCTATTTCATATTGATCGTACCAGTCATTCATTACCTACCTATCTAAAATGATCACAAATACTTTTTTTCAATAATGAAAACAATCACCTCCAAACACTAGCACTCAATGACGTGATATGGCGATAAGGGCGATAGGCATGAATAGTATATTTTTCAATATAAGAATTCACTTCCACAGTAGGAATGTACTGAGATAAACACAATACATACCTAAGTCGTATCCAAGGTGGGTCGTATCATATGAAGTTAATTATACTTTATATATCGTTTGTAAAATTGTATTAATGAAATGTAAGCCAATAACTGGAATTAATAAATAAATAACTTAACTGCTGTTCACCTACTTCAATTCTCACTGTACCCTTTTTGTCGCCCTAGTGGGTGAAAGTGCTACTACGTCGTGCACTTTGGTAGTGCCAAATAGAAAGAAAAAATAATAAATTATAGTATTATGAACGTTGTTCAATTTCACAATAAAACGCTAATTACATAGCGTCAGTCCATTGGTTGAGGAGTAGTGTCATACATATACAGAGTCCTCTAGGAAGAATTCAATTCATTGGTTTGCAAAAACCTACAAGTATTAGGCTCTAATCTTGTGTTACTGTTTGTATAAAACTGATAAAAAATCATGTATTATTTCATCATGAGGAACTGTGCTTCTCAAAAAATAAGAAATTGAAATAGGCAAGAGTTTTGGCGGTAAGTGAACATGACCTATCACTGAATTCACCATAGTTTTTATCTTTTGCCTGAAATATCCATACTTTCACATTTGTACACCAAGTCGCACCGCACCGGTTTCAATCCGTTATTCGTTAACATAACTTACATACATAGTTGAAAACCTAAAGTCATCTCCACAAATCGTATTAAAATCATCAAAGATCATGCTTATATAAGCCCATTATCAGCCAATAGAAAGGATCATAGTTATGGGAATGAAAAAAGTTGAAATACTAATAGTATAGGTGATAACTGGGCAAAGAGGGAACGATGCTACATGATTGTCTCTGTAAAAGGATATGATTTTTATATAAAAATTTTTAGAATTCTATTTAGGGTTCGGGGTCGCATTTCACCAAAAAAAGTAGCCGTAAATGCGATAAATCGCCACATCTGGCAACGCCGAGTCCCTGACCGTCTTCCGTATGCCCTCTTATTATTGTTCGTAATCGCCGGCCGGTGGAAATCGGCCCCGCTCTGCGCCGCCACGGCTCGAGTGTCGATGGCTAGCAGGTCGAAAGCAATGCTTTTTCAATTCATATGGATTTTTATTGAGCGCAATTGCTTTGCTTCCATTTTAAATTAATGGGATGCTTATTTGCTTACAAAGAGTAGAGCGCCAAAAACGGCGGCGAAACGAGTGGAAATATTTGATCATTCTAATAAAAGTTGTGGAGATGACTTTGGATTATCATCTATGAACTACACCACTCCACTTTGAGTAACCATGGACTTCTTCCAAAGTTATAACTTACATAACCAACGTTATCCCGCCTTAACCCAATCCGTAGTATTTGATCCGAAAGACTATTTAAAATTTTAGTGATTTAGCGAATAGAGCAGCTGTCGCTTGTGTTTTGTCGCCGGCGAAACGTCTCAATTCGAAAATAACCTGGTCCCGCGTGAAACCCATCGAAACGATTTCCTTAACGTCGGCATCTGTGAACTTATCATTAGGTTGGATAGTTTGAGTATCTGGAGTGGCATTGTGGCCTGAAGTACCCTGAGATGAGCTAGATGTACCAGATGCAGCTAGAAAGAATATAAATAATAATTTTCCACTAATACACTATCAGCTAAGATGTAAATAACCTCTGGTGTAGGCACTTCAATCACTTCATTCACGCCTATTATACCTATTATAATTGTATAACATTATTTATTATTCTTTGGTTAAATTTTTTGAAAATACTTCCTTTGGCAGAGAAATCCAAAGCTTGTCTGTTCTATAGACGAACGAGTTGTTTGATATATTTCAACCTTGACGTCGACAAGTACTGACGAAACAACTGGGGAGTGACCCCACCAGAGGTTATTAACCGTTCATTTTCCATTCATGATACATTTTTGCACAGTTGGTTATGTGGTTGATGAGGAATATGTAAATTAGTAGAATTTTTGATGACATGGCCAATGTTGACATATACTTAGTCTATTTTGAATGCAACTACCTCTATTTTATCCCATATTCTGTTAGGGATTTTCATAACAAATAAAATGATAATAGGTTTGATGGAAGGAGTTTATCGCCCATATTTTATCATCATAGTCATTTGAAATACCCCTATCAAACTTGGTATCATTGAATTCCAATTGAAAATCTCTTACTGAATATGGAATAGGTATAATGAACTATTTATTAACACAACTATTTTGAACACACTAAATTTGGGAATTAGATGGATTTTTTCAGGTGTTATCACTGATAGTGTGAGGAGTTTCTAATCACCCCCAGAATATCACAAAAAAATAAAGTTGTGTAAGTTCACTGATAAAAAAACAGCATTGTCCAGTTTGATAATAAAAACCATTGATAGGAACTAAGGAATTTTAATTTTGGATCTTTGTTACAAGAAAATTTTGATAGGAATAAGGAGATAATATATAGGTTTTGGATTGGCTTTTAGTGGTTATTTTTGGATCGGGTGCATTGGCTTTTGCTTCTTTTGCTGTCATGGGGACATGAATGTGAATCTTTGTTTCTCTTTTTCTCTGAAAAATAAAATTTATAAAACTTCAGTCAATGGCCTTTTGGGGTGTAACCCTAATAAAGATTATCTCCTTCCTCTCTCTAAAATTTATACAGAAACCAACAAAAAAAACACATGAATGTGGGATTAATTTGATCTACAAATAGTTCATTAGATTTCAAAATGTATTTTGTTGAGTGCTGTTTCACAGAGCAAAGAAGTCCATTACATAATAGGGGTAATTCATCTGAAGGGTGTATGCTCCACTTGTGTAGTTTCACAACAAAGCGAAAAAAAGTGCGCCATTTTGGGCGAGATTTTATTTATAGGTTATGAAAAATATTTCATAGGAGGGCATTTTATAATATGGGAATATTGGTGCACAAGCCTATGATACAATATTATATTAGAAGGCCTATAAAATTATTCTCTATCTACTGATAGATATTATTAAATTCCAGTTATCCATCTCCATTCATGATAGAGAATAACACGTCGCCTCACCTGACGGCGACAACTCGAACACCTCTGAGTTGTTTGTTTTGATGAATGTGACCAATAAGCAGGAGCAGGAACGAAAAACTAATAATGTAAACATTTGAAAACAAAATAAACAGACCACTTTGACAGCTTTCAAAAACTCCGATAGGTGGCGTACGCTCATTTTATATTGCAAATAACTTATTTGGATGCAAAGTTTTGGAACGATTGTGCTATCAACTGAAACTAGTGATAGTAGAAATTGAATAACATCTCATTTATCGGATTTTCTCCACATCACAGTGATAATTCATTTCCTTTAATAAAGTATTCTTATCAAAATTGCAATTCACAGGTGTAATTTATATCCACCTAGCTTTGGGCAGCTGTGAATATCACTCATTGCATCAAAACTACTGAAATATATCTCTCCAGCAACTACTAAAAGATATTAAAAAATGAGAATGATCCGATGCTAAATTGAAAGTGAAAATGTTGATAAAAACCTACTGAAGAGGCAAGTAATTCAAATCTTCGCGCACTAATTTGTCTCCTAATGGCGGATGGGCGGAGCTTATGTATATGTACAAGACTCACTGTAATTGGTGTTAGCTGGGATGGAAAGAACGTTTCTCACCTTTGCTATTTTGCAGCGCCATCTGTAAGTCTTTATCCTCTATTTCTTTCCTAGATTTGGCTATGATATCCTCCTCAGAAAACCCGCTCAGACGGGCGCACTCCGGCAAATCGCTTTCCGGCAGAAACGCCGTCTCTGTGCCAGTCGTGCCGATCCTCAGCACGTTCGCCTTCAGATCGATGCAGCACTGGTGCCGCTTGAGCATGTCGAGCCCCAGCAGCATGTCCATCGGCTGCTCCTCCAGAATGGAGAAGCTGGTGGTGAGGAAGACGTTCTCGATTTCGATCTGCACCATGTGGATGCGGCCGATGATCTTTTGGACGCCCACACCCTTGGCTATACCCGCCCATCTCGTGTCCACTAGGCGCATGAGGTTGCAGCGCTCCGCGCATCTGCTCGACATTATCGTCGTTTGTGCACCTGCAATAGCCGAAAGCACCAATACGTGAATTCAATTGGAATGTACATATTACCCTTCATTATCAACCCCCGGGCGCCCTGAAACTTGACCCATAGTAAAAAAAAATACATCCTAGATTTTCAGATAGGAAATAATGATTCAATATCATGAAATAAGTCTTTATGAAGTCACAAAGAGGCAAATTCAGCAAAAAACATCGCCGGCGGCACGCGATCCATTTGAACTTTCAAAGGGACCGGCAAGCGCGGCGGAATTCTTTTGATCAAGCTGTCTCAAGTATCCAAACTCCAAGACTATGATGCTGACGTCACAAGTACTATAATGCGCTGACCGCCTATTGGTAGTAGAAAAAATTGACGTAACGTTTTGATTCATCGCAGAATTAATGATTGATTTCATTGATACTTACACATAAAATAGGTTGAATGAAACAAGATAGCAGGCTCAGTTAAATCTGATTGACTTTACGAATTATACTATTTTGCTATTTCATGATTGAATCATAGATCTAATTAAACAATTAGATCTATGATTGAATCTAACAATAAATGATAATACAGAAATCCGTGCCGTTAAAATTAAATACTAATCATAACTGACATTATAAACGTCAAGAGTTTTGATGGCTGAAAAACGAGGTTTGTTGGTCACGTGTGGGTATATATGTATTGGTAGAGCATGTCCAGAATTTTTAGTCAACAAAAAATATCGCTGTTATACAGAAAAAACCGTGAAAAATTTCGATTCTGATCGGTTCTTGAGAACAAGAGTGGATTAGTCATATGTAATATCACAAGTGATACTATTTTGCCGGCAATATTGGGCGATTGTTACAACAGCTTGTTGCTCAGTAATTTCACAAATGACATTGTTTTATCATATTATGTAATACAATATGACAGTTATGACAGCTTGTTGCCTAGTGATTTTCCAATGACATTGTGTCATGTGTCATGAGCAATATTAAAGCAGCAAGCTGGAGCATGTCAATCAACAAATATTTCCAAAGAACAATAGTTTCACAAGTTGTATTCATATGCTGTGATACAGGAGATGCTGTGAAAATGGTTGATTCTCATTGGTTCTCTGAAACAAGTCCAATAGTCAGTATAATACCAAATGAAATCACGAAAATGTCAGATTTAAACATGCAGAAAATAATTAACATAATTTATACCCAAAATTTCTTATATTGATTTGATTCTTCTAGCAGATGAACATGATCCTCAATACAGAAAGAACAAAGAGCTATATGTATATCATGACTCATGAAGAACCCAATTAGTGTCAAACTACTAGGTATTCACAATGATACTAACTTGAATTGGAAGGGCCACCAACTATAAGGTGATTCAGTGGAAAGTGCAGTGCAAAAATTTAGTAGTGATTTTTTGAAAATGTATTTTTAAAGTGTTCAGATGTTATTTCTATAGCTGAATAATATGAATTGATCATTTCAAAATCTAATGACTTGCAAAATTGGTGCACTATCTTATCTTCAAAGGAATGAATCAAATCATCAATTATAAGTACAGGGTTTCTATAAATCATCATATCATTGTTTACATAATTTTTTCATTCACTGCTATTTGATGATATTTACTGTTATTGAATCAGCAAATCAAAAAAATATCACAGGTTACTAGAATGTATTGATTATTTTATAGAAATACTGTATGATGCATGACATTGTTTATTCATTACCCATGTTATTGTTATTTGAGATTCTGTTTATATGTATTTTTTTTAAATGGTAGAGTCCCAACATGTTAACTTTGGGGCACCACATGATTCAATGCTCATATTCAATACATAATGCCATAACAGGCTATCCCAAAGTTAATGCTTAGACTCTAACACAAAGCTTAAAAGAAAAAATTATGCAATATAGTTGCTATACTAAGGAATTTCATGAAGTTTTAAATAGTTCAAACCTGAATCAATGAAGGCTTTCACAGGGTACCTGTTGACTTTACAGTTTATATAGAGCATTACTACAGTTCCAAAAGATTCAGGATTATATTCCATAGCTGCTTCCATGTTAGCTTCAATATTTTTCTGTCTAATTTCTTCAGCAATCAAACGTTGTGCCTCAGTATCAAATGGATCAGCATTTGCCATTCTGACACGTTGTTGCTCACGCTCTTGTCTTGCATGGACTTGCTCACGTAAAACAGAAGCAAACAGTTCTGGAATGATAGAAGTTAGACTGGAAAAGGAGTATGATGTGTCTAGTTTACCAATATTTCCACTCAACAGTGCATCTGCTAATCTTGGGTTGTTTTGTTTCAAAAGAGCAAGCTGATCTGGGTTTGCTAGGAACATTTCTCTGATCAACACAGGGTCATCTTCATTGGCCCTACTTCTTGCATTACTTGGAACTTCAATATTGCTAAAGTCAAAATTAACTGAAAAAAAAATAGGTGTTATTTTTCAAAAATAATAATTGAATAAATCAATTAACCTGGCCTTTCCAAGCTGGTCTGTGAACTAGTCTGCATTCTTTGAAGGATAACAGCATCACCATCTCGTATTCCAAGATCTTTCAGAGACTTTTTATTATCCATCAGAGGCATTCCATTAAAAGCAATAACAATTTCAGATGCTGGAAATCCAGACTCTATCTCACAAAATGCTTTGAAATTCTCCAGTTCCAGATCTTCTGAAATTTCCAGTACGAATATAAAATCAGTTAAAGTTGTTACTGTTACCTTCATCTTGAGAATTGTTTGAAAATGATAATGGTGTTGTTGTGAGTCGGTGAACTTTCAACTGATGTTTTTCATGTTCTTCCAAAATCTAAAAATGAACAATGAAATGACAAAATAGAGTTTGGCACTATTTTCGGCATAACAAGATACTGTTGTCTGAACTTGCATAAAAATACATTTTTTGGCAAGCAGCACAAAAGATCATATACATACATTTTATTTCGCGAAAGGGTGAAAGACCTCATAAAAATTATTGAAGTTGAGTTGAAGAAATGAAGAAAATACACGAAAAAACAGTTTGATTCACTTCACTTTCATTCGGTTTCTGTGTCAACGTCAAATGTCAAATGTCAATATGGGCAAACATGTGAAGTACGAATAGGATGAAAGTTTCTGTATTTTATTGAGATAGATCAACAAAGAAATCTTGAATTACAAAATCTTGAGATATGGATATTCGCCATTAGATGGCAACCTTGAATACAATCCTCAGTTCTACCAACCTTGACATTTATACAAGGTTGGCATCTCTGGCAAAGTTTGAGGGTAATTTGTAAATTTTTTTGACATTTTTTAAATTTCATCACCACCTATCTCCTCCCTCTTTCGCTCTTCCTTTCCACTCTAGTTATGTATAGTATCTACGCAGGATGTTCTTCGAGCATTAAAGAGATTTCCTTCCGTGCGCTCCAATAAGCGATTTAAGAAACTGCCCCTTCAAGATACTCACCGGCAGAAAAAACCGGCCAGCATAAAAATTTGCGAAATTGATCGCCCTGTAACTTTTTTAATTCTTGCAAAGATAACCAACTATAAAAAAAAGTTGACCATTGAATATACCTACCAGATTCTGAAATGATATATACTTAGGGGGTTATTCAGCCTTATTCTTGATATTGATTCTTTTCAACTGGTTCGCGTTTTTCCAAATAATTGTATAACTTTCGAACCACCCCATTTCCGCCCCACTTCTTTTGATCCATGACATATGGGGCAACCCTGATGTATATTCTTTCCTTAATTCTTTCAAAGGAAAGATAAGTACAAACAAGTGTTTTAAGAAAGTATGGATTGTAATATTGTAAACCTGCTTCTCAAGCAGGTACCTACCGAGTTGATCAAATTTCTCAAGCCAGTCTTGAGGAATTTCCACAAATTCTCCTGAAGGGCGAATCGTAGCTCTTGGGGAGTATGAGAGAATAATAAGCCTCTGGAGTTCATTCCAAAGTGGCTCAATAGGTTCTGAAATATTGTTGATGAAAATTAAAAAATTCAAAATTTTTCTCAAAACACTTATTGTATCTCCTCTTGCAAAGACGATTTTGACAAGAATAAAAAAATTACATTTCATCTTGAAACAGCTGTATATCTTTTCCTCCATCATTGGGTTGATCCGAAAAATGATTTTACCACACAGAGAAACTGTTTTCTGTGACGGGAAAAAAGTTTGGAATTTCATCTATTTTGACAGGTTATAAACTGCATTTTTTCATAAATTACTTTTTTCTACAAACGTCAAAAAATGACAAGGTTCGCGCATTGATGACAAATTGCGAAGTGACACTTTTTTTCAGTTTCCTACGTTACCATGATTCCTAGCACAAAACAATGCGCGAAGTAAAACAGTGCGCGAAGTACCTACTTCGCGCATTGTTATGTAAAATAAATGAGATATTTATATTTCAACTTAATGGTCCTCAATCAAGCAGGCATCTACAAAATCATTTATTTCTGAATGTTCAACAATAACTTCGTTTTTTCTCTTGGAGCGCACGAAAGGAAATTCCTATTATGTTCGTGGAACGTCGTGCGTACCTAGGGAGGATAGGGGGAGACCTTTTATTTTCAATTTAGAACTATATTTTTTGACGTTTGTAGAAAAAATTTTGTTTGCAACTCGAGCGCGAAATACTTCGGTCATCTCGACTATTTTTTCAACTCGGCTACGCCTCGTTAAAAAAATCAGATCTCGATCATCAAAGTAGCATTTCGCGCTCTAGATACAAAAATAACTATTTTTCCACGGGACAGATTATGAAATATCAGATTTATTTTTCGGATATATATACAGGGTGTATCTGAATAACACCGAAAAAATTCAAGGTGTGATTCCTTGTGATATTTAAGGAAATAAAGTTCATATGAACATGTGTCCTAACTTGCTTTGTTTTGGAGATATCTACAGGGTATTAATATTTCCATGAAAGATCGTTTTTTTATTCATTACTCAATTGTCTTTTCATCAATTTCAATAAAACGTGGTGTTTTTTTTAAATACTAATATGGAGCTTCTTCTGGTGCAATTGAATTCGAAATAATATTTCTAGTGGCGTCACCGGAATTATCCCAGTGGCGCACCAGGTACCTATATATACTATCAAAAACGACAGTTGTTGTTTAAAAACATTTATTTGAAAAGGTATGTAATATACAAATAATTGACAAGATATAAAATATAATGGTTTTATACATACAGAAAAAAATTATGTTACTCACATGTATATAATTTTCATTATTTATCAAAAGGTCAATAGACAAAAAGGCTCTGGATTTGCACTTTTCATTATTATTTTAGAATCTTGAATGGAACATTATTAAAATCATCTATATTATTAGTCAGTCTCGCAAAATTAAAATACACCTTTCATTAATCTGCTTTCTTAAATTCTGCTATTTCTATTATTGATTGAACCTCTTTGAAACAAATATCTCTATTCAACATATTGGTCAAATAATGTATGTCTATGATCTTCATTTTTCAATTTGTTACATAAATTGTGATCTTTATATTGATGTTTATCAATTATATTACACTATATGAGTCTAAAGTCGAAAATTATTAAATAATAAAACATCAGTCGAAAACTTTGGACTTACACTGGAACGAGTATTATTTACACTGTACAAAATATTTTACAGCAATACAATATTATCATAAAATGAACGCCCAAAATATAAATAATTCATGTTGTGCGCTCGATTGTTAGATTTTCTTTGGAAGCAGCAAAATGGCGGTTGAACATCAAAAATATCATATATATATTTCACATTTTCATTTCCATAAATATATTAAATAATTACAATGACATATCATTATCCACAATCGTGATTGTTTGGTGAGGAAGATAAAACATTCGATTAAGATTTACAAAATATCTGAACACATAATATACGTCATACGTATCAATTACCAATATATAGAGTTAGAAAACATCATGTAATCACATATCAGCCTATCATTGCGATGGATCATTATTCTTCAGAAAATGAATGAAAGTGGTTATTGCTGCGGCTGATACAATAAAACTGATATTATTTCTGTAATCCTTGATTTTTTTACAAGAGAATGAATACCCAATTTCGTAGTTGATGATTTTTTCCACTAAGCATTGACCAATTTCATTTCATTTCAAGTTTTTTTATTGCTAGTACAACGAGGGTTCGACAAGCTTTAAACCCGTTGAATTCTACAAGAACGCCGTCACTTCGAAATTGTTCAATAATTGCACACACGCGTGCTACTGCAACGTCTCCAGTCAATCCCGCCTTCGTGTCACTGCAAAGTACCATGCTTCTCACGTAAGGCCGCCTATAAACGTGCACCTCCACGTGCCTGATGCCCATCGACCTGTTGAAGAATACCTTCCAGATGTGCACCGTCTTTCCCGACTAGATCCACAACCTCGAATAGACCTTGACCATGAGGCCCCCGTGCAGGGTATATTGCTTCCTTGGACTCCTCACACATGTTCCAGTCGATATAATTGACGTGTTTGTAGACTAGGCACGATAATACGATGAGCCTTGAAAAGATGTAGAGGACGTGGAGGACGCCTATCAAAACCGACTGGAGCGGCACGCCATAGTCTTCAGTCAAGGCCGTCTACTGAACGTACGCGTCCACGTGCCAGCCTTCCAACCTGTTGAAAAATACCTTCTAGCTGTGCACCGTCTTCTCCGACCAGATCCACATGCTGGAAGTGATAATCATGATCATGATCATCAGGAATTTGATCATGAACACCTGGCAATCCAGATGGCTCTTCGACTTGAGGTCCCTCGGACAGGGTATGATGTACTTGGACTTTTCGCACATGTGTTGGTTCCAGTCGTTATAGTTGACGTTTTCGTGGACTGGACACGAGTTGACGATGGGCGTTGGAAAGATATAGAGAATGAGGGTTCGACAAGCTTGTGATCCGTCACAAGAACGCCACCACCTCAAAACCGTTTAATAATTGCACACTCGCATGCCATTGCAACGTCCTCAGTCAATCCAGCCTTCGTGTCACTGCTGAGTACCATGCTTTCCACGTAAGGTCGCCTACTAATCGTACGCATCCACGTGCTAGTCTTTCAACCAGCTGTGCACCGTCTTCCCCGACCAGATCCACACGCTGGAGGTGATGCCCACGATCATGGTCATCAGGTACTTGATCATGAACACCTCGAACCTCGGATGGCTCTTTTCCTTCATGTCCCTCGGAGAGGGTATCACATAGGTACTTCGAATTCTAGCACATGTCTTGGTGCCAGTCGTTATAATTGACGTTTGCGTAGACTAGGCAGTGACTAGGCACGAGATGACCAGCTTGTGATCCGTCAAATTTCACAAGACCACCGCCACTTCAGAACAGTTCCATAATTGCACACTCGCGGGCCACTGCAACGTCCTCAGTCAATACCGTCTTCGTGTCACTGCTAAGTGCCATGCTTTCCACGTAAGACCGCCTACTAAACGTACGCCTCCACGTGCCTGCCTTTCAACCTGTTGAAGAACACCTTCCAGCTGTGCACCGTCTTCCCCGACCAGATCCACACGCTCGAAGTGATGCCCACGATCATGGTCATCAGGTACTTGATCATGAACACCTCGAACCTGGGATGACTCTTCGCCTTGAGGTCCCTCGGGCAGGGGATGGCGTACTTGGACTTTTCGCACATGTCCTGGTTCCAGGTGCGCATCCAGTCGTCGAAGTTGACGTGCTCGTAGACCAGACAGGAGATCACGATGAGCGCCGGCAGGGTGTATAGGACGGAGAAGACGCCTATTCGGATCATGAGCTTCTCCAGCTTGTCGGTTTTGGTGCCGTCGTGCTTCATGACCGTGCGGATGCGGAAGAGGCTGACGAAGCCCGAGGAGAGGAAGACGGTGCCGATGACTAGGTAGACGACGAGAGGTAGGAGGATGAAGGAGCGCATGGCGTCTGCGTTCCAGATGCCGACGTAGCAGACGCCGCTGAGGATATCACCTGCAAAACAAGAAAATAGGGTCAGAGTCTTTTCAGGGTGAAATTGAGGGGGAAATGGCGCATTTACCTAAATAACAATATATGCCGTCATGAAGTTTGGCATTCTCATTAAAAAACGGGAGCTTTTTTGTCAAGGTAAACTTGTGGCAGTTTTTTGGAATTTCTTATAGGCAACAACACTCTAAGTATGAATTTCAAGTTTACTTCGACCCAAAAAATGCTTGAGTGTAATTAGGTGAGACAATTTTAGGAATACACGTTAAATCACATTGTTGTTGATGGTTTTTCCAATTTCTCCACTAGAAGACTCTCCAAATCGTGACATTTCCACAGATTAGCTAGGTACTTTTCTGACAACGCAAGATTGACAAAAATTCACATAAAGGCCATCAAGATTTGTTCACTATGTTGGTTGTCATGGTTTCAAATGTTAGGTTCCGTTTTGTCATATTATGTACCTAATACTAGAAGGGATACTATTTTGCCTGGAATATTTGGCGATTGTTACGACAGCTTGTTGCCTAATAATTTCGACGAATGACATTGTTTATCAAAGCTTTCGAGCCGTAGGCGAGAAGATTTGGAACAATGTCATGAGCGAAATTAAGGCAGCAAGCTGGAGTATGTCAATCGACGAATATTTCCAGGACAAATAGTATCACGAGTTGTATTCGTATGAGTATTCCATGATTGAGACAATAATCGAGCGGCTTGCGAGAGTTCCGCACACTGCATCCATCATTCTGGCTTCCAACATAATTGACGTTTTAAACGTCCAAAATTTTATCGCTAAAAATCAAGGAAGTTTGGTCACGTGTGGATCAATTCGGTTTCTGTGGTGGTAGAACAAGTCCGATAGAATTCAGTAAACATGAAAATATCGCTGTAATACAGAACAAACCGTGAAAATGGTCGATTCTGATTGATGATTGAAACCAAGAGTGGAATAGTCGCTGAAAAATTTAGGGCTGTCATAACGACAAAATCATGCACAGCGGCTTATGTGATGTTTTATACAAGAATTGAATTGTCAGAGAAAAAAACTGTAGATTCTGACCATTTTCTGGCTTAGTCCATTGAAGAAGCGAAGAAATAGTATTGAAATTGTAATATAACATTATTTTTTATCAAATAATATCAGTTGGCTGATGAAGGAAATGGCGAATAGGTATTCAATTCTTTAAATTCTTGGGGGTTTTCTCTCCTAGTAAGTATAAAAATCAGTATTACTATCATTTCATTTCACTTATTGTACCTAGTAAGGACAAATCAGATGATTTGCTCTGAAATTTCACTGCGAATTCCACTCTGAGAAACCTATTATTTTTCATGTAGGTAAATATTCAATATTTCTTCATGCTCCTCTGGCTCATTACTCCTATGGCTCTTATTTTCCATGGTCACGGGAGGCAATGAAGAATACATGACCTTGAATCAGGTATCCGATCGATTTCCGATAGCTATACCTAAACCTCGACATAAACTCTCATTGTCATATAGTACATACTTAGTATGAGATAGACGACTGAAATAAATTCTATATAATGTGTCTTTCATCGCATAGGTACTTAGTTTTGATCAGATGTTGTGATGCTCAATAAATAATGCTGGCAATTTTGCATATATAAAGTGTATTAACTTCTTGACTACTTTTCAACAAGTCGTCTGTTATAGCAGCAAAAACGAAGATAAAGTGAAAATATGTTTGTAATTAAAACACTAGCATGGAAAAACGAAAAAAAATGGAAACTGTCGAGCTACCCGTCTTGTCACTTTTCCTCACGTACTATATTTAACAACTCGCTCCTCTCATTAAAAACTGTTAATTGATAAGATAAAATCGCATATGTGTTATTACCGGTACTCTCGAGAATGCAGTTTTCAATTCGCTACTATACAGGAAGACAGAATCCGTACTAATATCCTTGCTACCAAGAGAAAAGCCGTTTTATCGTGGATCCGCACTTTGATGCACATTTTAATTAATATTCAAATTACTGCGTTAATTAGATTCAGTTAGAGGTGGGAGGTATCCGCGGGAAATTTTTTTCTATGTCCTTATATATTGTTTAAAAGAGTTGACAAGTATTTGCAAATGGGCGGTATTTATGTCAATATTTAATTATACTAAGTAAATGAATTATAGAGTTTGTGTCGCGAAGCATAACATTTATGATAAATACTTGTCATAATTAACATGGTTCTGAATATTCGAGATAATTCTGTCGCTTTTTTGTTCACTAAAACGAAATTTTGTTGACGAGTCCGTCAGGCAATACAATTCAAGTCAACAATATGAGACAGAATCATGGAAAGAAATTCAGTACATAGTATACAAGACAAGCCAAAATTTGCTTTTCCAAACATATCGTTACATTGTTGTAAACACCAACACTGATAGACTATATGAATATGCATGGTCAGTATTAGCACCAAATTCAATACGTATTTCAGAAGATTCCGAAGACTTACTGATTTTCCCAATATGATATTACTTGGCTGTCATCATCATCGTAATTAACCCTTTTTTCTACAATCATATGCAATTATTACCTCAATTAATAAGATCTGTGATGTTTGCTCGCTATTGTAGGGTTTGTATTATTAGAGTTGAGTCACTCATGAACCTAATGAATATTCTTTGAACCAGCAACCTAGTGTTTTGTAGGAATGTGAGAATTACTTGTTTTGGTTTTTCTCAAAGTAAAGAACCGCTCTGCGTTTTTTGAATGAAAATAAAAAAGCGTATACAAATTAAAAAAACGAATGATAATGCTATGCTTCTTTCTAAATAACGTTTGCTTGTGACTTTATCGTTGAATGTTTTGTACAAGTTTCTTCATTAAAATAATAGTTTTATAACTCCATCAACTTCATGTTATATATTTGATAATCTGACTACAAAGTCTTCAATTTTAATTACTCATTAAAATAACATAACCATCACATGCTCCCGAGTCCCGATAATAAATAATAAAAAAATGGAAATAATGTTACATAACTTTCGATCACAATCAGGATTAGAGAATAAAACTTCAATGTTTACGACTGTGTAACATATCCTGCATTTCAAATCTCCATCTTCAACTTCATCGCTTTATCTTTTCAATCTCCAGTGTCAGATAAGCGAGTGATCGCTTATACCTTTTTCCTTCATTATCGAATCATTCGAATTACGAGCCATACATATACATACATACATAATACCTATACCGACAGATCGTAATCGCGCTTTGAAAAGTTCATTTAATTTATAAGATTCATGAAAATCGTGACGTCGACTCAATTTAAACGACCCGCTAGAAGGTTATGATAATAATTATTAGAAATGAGGCATGCCGGAATGGATTCTTAACTGTTTACGACTCTGCGTGGTGGTATTTGTGTTTGTTATGGAAAAGGTGAATGTGGAGATTCCAAGCCAGATCAAACCTTCAATCATCCACGAACTACTGACTATTTCTACTACGAAATGGCCCCAATTCTCAAAGTCGAATGAAATGTTCAATAAATACGAAAAGCTCATAGTCATTTCCACACAAATTACATAAAATGAACAACAATGGTAGATTTCGGGAAAAAACAACTTTTTTCCTCGCTGATGCCACGCAGAATATTGAATTACATCCTTCCGAAATCTATGCATCGACTCGTATAAACGAATACTGATACAAGATATACTATTGATCTCGATTCAGCCAGGCCACGCTAGACACCTACTGACCGGTTTTCGATCTCATTGACTCATCAGTGCAGGGGAATCTCCAGGATGCAGTCCTAAGACCGCCGACTAAGCGTTGTAGTTTTTCCTCCCGTAACATTGTGTTGGAACGACTTTGAGCTTTTTGTATTCAGTCACTGACTTTGTTTATTTCAAAATTTGGGATACGAATTCTTTTGTTTCATAGAGTTCATATTATAATACCGCAGATCAAACTACCAGATGCAAACTACTGAGATAGTTTGAACTTTTGCTCTGCTCATCGATATATAATGAACATGAACATTAAAGATGAAACTTAGTCCACACCTGTAAACTATAGGAAAGCTAAATATGATGTTTCAGAATTAAGATTTTTGACCACCCTGTATCTATTTCAATTAAATATCAATTGATAGTACATAAAAAGTTAAGATAGGGACATGGAAACTAAAACTCTCGATTTTTCACACCCTTTATCTTTGTTATCATTTCCGCTACACCCAAGTGTGAAGATCGATGAAATCAGATCTTCAGGGAGAATCTGAAAATGGAATAATATACAGGGTGTCCCATTTAAAAAATCAAAGTTTTTGCTACTTTTCTATATAAGCGGCAACGTCGCAACACTGGGAATATTTTAGTTCGATAGAACACAACCCCAACTTTTCAGAATAATCGTGAGTTGCGTTCCCCAGAAACGTCTATAATGTGCCATCCACCGTGAATCAGCCTGTATTCCTACTTGACTCAAATACGTATCTCCCTGTATATCGATAGGAATGGTTCGATTTATTATGTGTGTATATCTCGACAATTACAGATCTTTAATCTCATTTTTTATATACACCTATGATACTTTTGCTCTGCTCATCGATAATGAACAAGAGTATACCATTTTTTAGTTCAAACTTCAAGCTAGCCTAATTTTTGATCATACATGGTGTACAAAATTTCAACATTAAAGATGAAACTTAGTCCACACCTGTAAACTATAGGAAAGCTAAATATGATGTTTCAGAATTAAGATTTTTGACCACCCTGTATCTATTTCAATTAAATATCAATTGATAGTACACAAAAAGTTAAGATAGGGACATGGAAACTGAAAAATATCGATTTTTCACAACCTATATCTTTGTTATCATTTCCGCTAGATCCAAGTGTGAAGATCGATGAAATCAGATCTTCAGGGAGAATCTGAAAATGGAATAATATACAGGGTGTCCCATTTAAAAAATCAAAGTTTT